TATCACTTTTGTGATCTCAGTAGAATAGAATCCTATCACCCTGAGCTACAGGCTCAGTGAAGGAGAATTAAGTTGCTGCATGAGAAGGAAAAAGGAATTATTTTTGTCATCTAAGCGAACAGATATCTCTTTAGGAATGAGAGTGGCCAGACTTTGTCTGTTGTACTTTGATTATGTGGTCAGAAGTGACCAGACCTGGAAAAGGATATCATGCTTCGTAAAGCAGAGGGTCAGAGAAAAAGGTGAAGACCCTCAAAGAGAGGGATTGACACAGTGGCTGCAAAGATAGGCTCAAACACAGCAATAACTGTGAGGATGGCATAGAATGAGACAGTGTTTCATTCTGTTGTACATGGGACAGTATGAGTTGGAACCAACTTAGCGGCACCTAACAACAGAAGAAAAGATGCTTGTCCGTCAAAGATTTTACCCTCATTAAATGCTGTTGTTGCTATTGAAGACTAAGATGTGTCTAACCTAAACCATGGTATTTTCAGTCGCCTCATATGCATGCTAGAGCTGGACAATGAATAAGGAAGACTGAGGAAGATTTGCCCAGTGCAATACATTGTCTCATGTCTTGACTGCTGCTTCCATTGGTGTTGACTGTGGTAGCAAGTAATATGAAATCTTTCACAACTTTAATCTTTTCTCCATTTATCATGCTGCTGCTGACTGGTCTAATTTTGAGGATTTTTATTTTCTTTATGTTGAGATGTAATCCACACCGTAGTCTATAGTCTTTAATCTTCATCAGTAAATGCTTCAAGTCATCCATACTTTGAGCAAGTAAGGTTGTGTCATCTACATATCACAGGTTGTTAATGAGCCTTCCTCCAATCCTGGTGCCATGCTCTTCTTCATACAGTCCAGCTTCCTGGATTATTTGCTCAGCGTACAGATTGAGTAAGTGTGGTGAAAGCATACAACCCTGACACACTCCCTTCCTGGTTTTAAACCAAGCGGTATCCAATTAAATGCTAAGAGTCTCCAATTCACTTTCTACATGAAAGAGAGTAACAATGCTTCTGATGGATCCAGAATGTCTACATGCAAACCTCAGCTCTAACAGTTCAGCTATATGACCTTCAGCCAGTTATTTAACCTCTCTGTGCCTCTGCTTCCCCATTTATAAAACAAGCCTGTTGCCATCAAGTTGATTCCAACTCAGAGCAACCCTAAGGACAGAGTAGAAGTGCCCCCTAGGGGATGCAATCTTGTAATCTTCACAGAAGCAGACTGCCACATCTTTCTCCCATGGAGCTTCTGGTAGGTTTGAACTGCTGACCTTTGGTTAGCAGCCAAGCACTTATCTACTGCACTATCAGGGCTCCTTTTCTCATTTATAAAGGGGAATTAATAATACAGTTACAGAATTGTGATAGGATAAAATGAGTTTCATGTAAAGTGCTTAGAACTGTGCCTGGCAGAGTAAATGCTATATAATAGTAAAAGCTACAAGGCCTGACATGACACAGTCTCTCATAAACCAATCTACGGTTGGATATTTCTCACGTCCAATTTACTTTTATTATAATGATGGGGTCTCTGTGATAAATAAACACCTTCAGATTGTACCTCTCCAGCTTACTAGATGCCTTATTGATTTCAAAGTACCTAAGCTTCTGTTGAATTATACCTTTGGACAAAAAGCAAAGCCATTTTCAATACCATCAAAGTATAAAAACAATAACTTCAACGTAGTGTATCCTGCAAATACTGGGTTATTTTTTGTTACTGTTGTATTGCTCCTGTGGTACAGTAAATTACCTGGTATGGCTTCTCTTTGTCACTCCCACCAGATTACTAGGTAGGACCATGCAAATAAGGTGTGTAGAACTCTGATGATGAAATTGGTTAGTGATTCTGCTAGGCTTGAGATCAGCCCTCTTAGAGGCAGAAAGGGGGATCTCACTGCTATCACAAGAGAAGAGCTGGAATTGGAGTGAAAGGTGTTGCTGGGCCTCCTTGGCAAGATCCTCTCCTGACAGAGAGACATGCTGGCTGAGACAGTAGCAGTCGAACCAAGAAGCATGAAACAGAGCAGCAACCCTGCCAGTCCATGGAGTGAGAAAGCTGAGTGCTACTGGGCAGGAGGCTCACTGGCAGAGTGGAGGTGTACCTATTGGCAGAGCTAAGAGCATTGTAACACACTTGCCACAGCAGGGCAAAGGCAGGCTGAGAGGCGAGCCTGAGGGCACAGTAGAGGGAGAATGGCCTGATCAAAGACCTTTGTCCTGCACACATTCCTGAACCTGAGTTGTAGCCTGTTACTTCCCTAATAAACATCCATAATCGTGAGTATTGTTTGTGAGTCGTGTGTGGCAACTTCAACAAATTATTGGACCTAGTAAAGAAGCTGTGAGTGGTGTGGGACAGTTGGTGTCAGACTTGGTAAAAACCCTGCAGGGTGGTGGCCTTGGGCTGTTAATGGTAACTCCTTTTCCCCCTTGTGAGGATGGAGGAGGTCAGAAGATATAGCCCCCATGCCCTTTTTACAGTTATTAATAATTTCACAGAAATTTATCGAAATTCTACATTATTCACAACACAAATCATTTCCAAAAAAGTGTAAATAACTTACCTTGTGATAGCAGCAAAAAAGTTAACTACCGAGGGCAGGCAAATCTTCAGAGGATTTAGCTGACTCATGACTATGCGTTCAAAATTTAGACTTTGAAGGTACTGTAAACCTTTGATTAAAACAGAAAAGATACTTTAAAAGGTGTAAATATAACTTAAAATGAGCCTTGGTGGCAAAATGGTTAAGCACTCAGCTGCTAACTAAAAGGTTGGTGGTTCAAACCTACCCAGTGGATTTGTAGGAGAAAGACCTGGTGATCTGTTCCTGTAAAGATTAGAGTTCTGGAAAATCCTGTGGGGTGGGTGTACTCTGTCACATGCAGTTGCTATGCTCAAAATTGATCTTATAAGATTATGTTTACCAGCACAAGTAATTTCACACATTAAGTAATTTGTGAAAATGCTTTAAATAAGGGGTACCAGGTTTGCTGGTCCGATAGAGCCTGGTGGAACCACTAAGAGAGACTATGGCCCTAGCTGCCCCTCAGGTCTGGAATTGAACCCACACCTGTGGCATCCAGCCAAACAAAAGACAGGCATATGAGCTGAACATTTACCTGAGGT